GGCTAGCTATATATATATATATATATAGCTACTGCCCATTTTTGCACAGTATAAGTTTCATTCGTTCCACTTAAATTACTAAGGAATGTCATATTTCCTATCTTTCTAATCATTTTCCCCCAACCTACAATTTACCTTCTAGGAAAATGCACAGTCATTTATATTATTATTACATTCTTCATATCTTCTCCTGATTTTTCCTTCTATTTTATTACTTCCTCCTTTTTATTGTTTTTATATCTTTAGTGTTGCAAAAACTAAGACAGAAAGGCCACGAAGCTCACCATTTCCACCAAGGATAAGTACAAGAACATGCCCGCTGTCACCGTTAGGATCCAGTCCTGGACACACGGGACAGCAGACACGGACAGGCCAATGTACAGGCCTACGAAGGCAGTCAGAGCACTTATAAAATTCATCAGGATGGCAGTCTTCACAGGAAGTCCAGAGCTTAAGAGCACAGCAAAGTCTCCTGCAGTTTAATGGAAAAAGAGAGTATAATTATCAATTAACCAATGATGCCTTTGTGCTACCGGGCTGTTTCAAATTTCAGCAACTGGAACCAATTTTGGAAGTCAAGCTCATTGATTAGCTAATAAAGCTCTTTCTCATTCAGTTTATTATCAGGAAGTTGTAGTCTGGGAGCGCTGCTCTTCTTGCTTCTCCTACATGCAGTCTATTCAGGGAGGTCGATGACATATTCTCCAGTTCCTGATGTCCAGTGGCATTTTCAACTTAGACAAATGCAAAATAGAGTTACCCTCTGGCCCAGAGCTTCTAAGTCTTTCTTGTCTGGAAACTTGCCAGGGGATATCATGACTGTAGAGGGGCTTTTATGACAGGCAGGAACTTCTGTTGGGAAACGAAAAAACTACTTCATCAGAGATTTTTAAAGAATTGCAAGCCAGTGAGGAGAATAAATTGTACCTTTAGAAAATGGCTTTATTATCTTGATAATTATAGAAAAATGACCTTCTCCCACCCATATCTTTCCTCCAAAAGAAGAATGACCCACTTACACTTTTCAGAGCACCCACTTCTCATTCTCAGGGATTGAGACTGAAACTGAAGAGATACCCAGGGGCTCTGTATCTGGGTTCTGTCACCTACTTGGTCCCACAATAGGCCTGCTGTGGGCTGTCACTCTGTCCCTTGATTTAGAATTGAGGATCAGGTGCTGCAATGCTGTTATAGTAAACATAAACCCATAGGATATGGCTCCCAGGTCAGCTATATTTCAATGGGCTCAGGAAGGACCTTTGATACATTCTCCAAGGATGTGTCACTAATGTGTTGGGACCAGGGAGATAGCTCAGCAGTCTAAGCATCTGCCTGGCAAGCACAAGGACCTGGGTTCAATCCCCAGCACTGCATGCCGTGCTGGCACTGCCCTGAGTGCCCCAAGCTGGCCACCAAGACTGGCCATGGTGGTGCACGCCTTTGATCCCAGCCCTGGGGAGGCTAAAACAGGAGGATCACTATAAGACTGAGCTGCATAGT